TAATCTCCCATATCTCCAAACGCACATTCAATCCAGTGTATGTATTTAAATAATAGAATCATAATTATATTCAAATTGATTCATTGAAATCTATTATCTTTATTCATGGTTTCCTTTCTTGTATTTTTTGTTGGATCATGTTCCAATACAAGATAACAGACTTTAATAAAACCTTCCTGAGCAAACTGTTCTCCATCTCACATATGCCGCCCTAAATAGTGTAATTTGTTCAAGTATTTAATAAACCATACCTTATGTGACCAAATTTCTTGAGCGGATAATACATCTTGTTTCCAGAGTTCTGATTCCAGTATTGTAGCTGCTATGAGCAAGTTATTAATGAGATGCATATATGTTATCTCCTTCTTTTTTGTAAAACATTCCAGAAGTGAAGCCACGGGGTGACCTGAAACCTTATCTTTAACTATTTCCTCCATAACTGAACAAAACAAAACCTGATCAAAATATCTTAACTATTAGGCACTGCCACCAGATATGAAGAAATTAGACTAACTGCATCTGGTATCTCCAATGAATTTGTGAATCTGTCGGTGTTGTTTTGGCAATTCTCTTTAGAGTATAAAACCATTTCTTCATCATTTTCAAGGCATTATAATATTTCATTATAATTTTAAAATATTCATGTGTCAGGGTGTCACTAAAAGCATATAATCAGTACAATCCTCAGATTTGTAAAGGGAGTGGACCTGTGCACTAAATCACTGTTTGCTGTGTGTATTATTCTGCTCCTACTGCATTATTTTCTGCTGATATAATATCATTTTCTGCATTGTGTAACATATCCCATCCAACAATTTATGCCTTGTTTTGGAACTGTATTATCCTTGTCTCCTTGTATTGCTTATTAGATGTCTCATCCTAGTGATATCATTGACTGACAGTTTACACTGTGGAATCTGCCTTGAGTCTCAGTGAAAAAGGTGAACTATAAATAAAATCAATAAATATGATTTGAGGGGGGGGTCAGGCATTAGGGTGGTTTTAAGGTTAGGTTATCTATTTATTCCAGTCACCTTCATGGAGGGAGAAGGAAGTCTTAGACACTAGCTTCCTGCAGTAAAGCTAGATTTCCTTTTCTATATTCTCATATTTGTGGTTTCCCATCACTGTTCAGTTTCCACAGTTGGCAATGTGGTGGAACATGAGCACCACCAGCAGCAAATTCCTTCCTGAACAGTGACCCCGACTGGTTTCATTCTCTGGGTCTCGCACAGTAATACACAGCTGTGTCTTCTTGCATGAGGTTGTCCATTTGAAGATAGAAGTTGGAGCTGTCCTTGGAGGCTGTGAATCACCCTTGAATGGTTAGGGAGTAGGCACTGTCATATGAGGAATAAAAGTTAGTATGCCATTCTGGCCCCTTTCCTGGAGATTGTCGGATCCAGTTCATGTAAGTACTGCTCAGATCAAATCCTTGGGTGGAACATAGCCTGGTCGATTCTCCAGGTTTTTTCAGTTCTGACCCTAACTGTGTGAGAACAAATTCTGAAGTGGTCCCTGCAGAGAGAAGAGGGACTTGAGTTACCATCTGGATTGTTAAGACCAAACAATTTTAACCAATTTTTCCTCCCCACTAAATTTAACAATCTCTAAGCTTTAAAGCAGTGATTTACAAGAGAAGCAATTCATGACTATGAAGGAACACATCAGCCACAACATTTTGATCAGTGCTATGAATGGAATGGTGGAATGGTGGAATGGTGTGAACAGACTTGGTAGTTTATCCCAGGTGCTTGTCGGCCTTTAAAGAGTAAAGGAGTGTTTTTGCATAATCTGGGGAGATCTCAAGGATGTTGAAATAAAAGGGGTGGAGATAAATGAATCCTAACTTAAGCAGGTCAGTTAATTATCATTCTATTTTTCTGAGTACAGAAAGGAAGTAAAAACAAGGTGTTAGGGTTGCCAGGTCTGGTTTGGAAAATACCTGGAGACTTTGAGGGTGGATCCGGGAGAGGATGGGGTTTGAGGAGGAGAGGGGCCTCAGCACAGTACAATGCCATGGAGTCCACCCTTCAAAGCAGCCATTTTCTCCATGGGAGCTGATCTCTTGTCGGCTGGAGATCAGTTGTAAAACTGGGAGATCCCCAGGCCCCACCTGGAGGCTGGCAACCTTACAACGTGTTCAGCAAGGCCTCGCATCCAATCCTGGCTTTTCTGCTGAAGGCAAATGCATAGGTTGTGTGAGAAAAGTCTCAATGCTTGTATGTTTGTGTTTGCAGCATAAAGCGTAGACAGGGCTTTTGGATACCATAAGAACCATAGTCAGGCTCAAAGAATGGCAGGAAGATGGCATTCACCTTCAACCATTTCCCCAATTCATTTGTGGTCAACTTATTTAGGAGGTACCTTTAACCTGTAATTGATGTGTGTGAGACAGTGAAGGCCTGAAGAATTATGAGCAAAGGCTTGGTCTAGCAAGCTGATTTGTGATTTGGGGGGAAACACACACACATACACGCACACACGCACACACAGAGAGAGATTATGGCATGGTCACTGTAGTAGGCCTCAGATTCCCACAGAAATTGGGGCATTTCCTTTTCTTTTTTTTTTTGAACAATATTTTTTATTAGGATTTTCTAAATAAAATTCAAACATACAGCTATTTTAAACACTTCTTCCCAGATGAGCATACAGCCTCATTTCATATCAACTCTATATACAAAACATATTCCTAACCCGTCACCTTCAGTTTCCACATATACAATTTCTTCCAGTTGTCTTTAAAAAATTTATCCTCCTTCCCTTTTAATAAACATGAAATCTTATCCATTTCCGCAATTTCAAATAGCTTTTGAATGACCTCTATCTTTTCTGGGATTTCCTCTGTCTTCCAATACTTGGCAAATATAATTCTCGCTGCCGTTAAACAGTGTAACAGTAAATACTTCTCCACTCTCCCGTACGTCTCTGGGATCATATTAAGTAGACACAGCTCTGGTTTAGGAGCAATATGTACTCCTAAAATTTCTTGTAACATACTACAAATCATCTTCCAAAATTCCTTTGTCTTAGCACAATTCCACCACATATGGATATATGTACCGACATTCTGATTACACTTCCAACAAATATTTGACCCTGCTATTCTGGCTGGATACAGATACCACATTAGCGCCACCAGAAATTGGGGCATTTCCTGTTTGTTGTCAGAATACTTAGTAATTAATGTACCCAGTTCTTATGAGATGGCTCCATCTCAACCCCAACAACTTTTGCAGAATCCTCTGTCCAGTAAAATTTTTTAACCAAGACCAATTTTACTTTACTTTTAAAAAAAACCTTTTACTTTACTTATCAGCTAAAATGGCAGGTTTGTAAGTGTACTGAAGAATATATCCACCTCTGTCACAGTGACACACATTGAGCAAAGATGCCAGTGTGGGAGGCAGAACAAGACGCAGTGTTGTACATTGAGGACAGTGCTGGATTGGGAAGGGAAGACGAAGGATCATACCACCGCAAAATCCATTGTGTGACCACAAATGCATAAGAAACACAAGATTTAACACAGTGCCATTCAGAGAGAAGAGCCACATGAGTGTATATCCCCTCCCTTTATCTTCCCAAGAAGATTGAATGAAAATGGATGCAGACATGGAATTTCCCTCTACACCCCACAATTCGCAGACATGAAAATGTAGCATTGAAAAACCAAGACGTCCCATATATATCTATGTAAGGGTTTACTACTCTTACTGCTGTAACTGCGCTTAGCAGTGCACTGGAAGACATTTATATCATATTCTTCTGCATTTGACCTGTGGTAGGGGAGGGCCTGTGGCTCAGTGGGTCATTCGTAAGAGCATCCACTCGGCACTCAGAAGGTCCCAGGTTCAATTCTCAGCATCGCCAGTTAAAAAAAATGACCAGGTAGCAGGTGATTTGGAAGACCTCATCCTGAAACTTGGTGGTATCACCTTCTTGCTCAGCTCCCTCCCCTTCCTAAACTTGCCCCCCAAAACATTTCCTTCAGGAGCTTCCCTATGCAGTGTTGGCAACCTTAACCATAATAATAAAGCTAGAGTGAAAAGGCACAGTCCACCCCCCTGTCAATAATGTAAGCTTCAGCTGTTAGATGGCTCTGATCTATCTGACAGTTGTCATGTGATTGTCATGAGGTGCAGTACCAGACTCATCCAGTTTGGACATGTCTGGGCAAGGACTAAGTCACCATGACTAAGCACATTGCTGATTGGCTGTGCTATGTATATATGTACAGTGTGCTTATGCTCAGTGTTCTCCCCTGTATTTGTGAATGCTGGCGCAGCATGCTGTCCGAGAGCTGTATATATCTGTAAATAAAATCCCTGTAAATAGTTACCACTGGACTGCTTTATGTGGTGAGCTATTGGGAGTGGCTGGTGGCTAGAACTCTGCTAGAGTGTGCTGCAAGTTCTTGAGTGCCCCGTTCAACTGCCAACGCACTGCGCAACACCCCCCCCTCCAAAATGTAACCCTGCAAAGTTCAGTTTTTTGTATAAAGCATAAACTGGTGAGCTACAAATGAACAAATTCAATGGGACATGTAACTCCATTCAAAATTGTCTAAACATCATCTCTACAGAATAATGATACATCAGCCTTGTTCAGATGTTTTTGATCAGGAGGGTCTTCCCAGTATTAGCTCCATAATTAATTCTATACCCGGGTTTGAAATATGTGGAAAGGCCTTACATCAGTGTGGCCTTTAAGCACAGGTTGGGTGGAAAATTCTGATATAAGTGGCTCATTGCAGGGAAAGCAAACAGTAAGATTAGGTTTGCCATTCGCTGAAGTCATCCTCACTGAAACAGGTGCTTCAGACATCTGGTTCCTGTAGTAAAGCTAGATTTCCCTTTCTACTTTCTCATAATTGTGGTTTCTCACAAATTTCCTAGGATGCAGATGCAGTGGCACATGAGCGCCACCACATGTCAATTCCTTCCCAAACTTGCACATCAGAAGGCTTTTTTGCATGAGTCCAGACCAGCTCCCATTCACTGTGTCTCTCTTGCACAGTAATACACAGCCGTATCATCTGGCTTGAGGTTGTTCATTTGAAGGTACAAGTTGGAGCTGTCCTTGGAGGCCGTGAATCGGCCTCGGATGGCTGGGGAGTAGCTGTTGCTTGATGATGAATAATAATAAAGCAGCCATTCTAGCCCTTTTCCCGGAGGCTGTCGGATCCAGTGCATGGTATAGCTGCTCAGATCAAATCCACCGGTGGAACATGTCAGCCGGGTGGATTCTCCAGGTCTCTTCACTTCTGGGCCTGACTGAGTGAGAACAATTTCTGAAGCGGCCCCTGTAGAAAGAAAAGGCACGGGGTTCAAGATTGTGATTATTAAGACCCAATGATTTTACCCTAAGATGGGAACTAACAAATTGTTCTCCAAGTTGAAAAGCAGGGACTTACAAGGGAACCAATTCAGGACTATGAGTGTCCTAAAAAGCCGCAACATTTTGATCAATGGAACGGAAGGTGACAAGTCCCGCTAGAATGGGGCGAACAGGCTTGGCAATGGATGCGAGACAGTTATCTCCGCTTTAAAGAAATGAAGGGGAGGCTTTGGTTTTGCATATTGTGGGGAGAGCAGGGGATCATCAAAATGAAAGGGGTGGAGACAATTGAATCCTGACTCGAGAAGGTCAGTACATTGTCATTCGGTGTTCTGTGTACAGGAAGTACAAACAGGGTTTCGGAGGGTAGCTCAGTTGGTCTTCAGTGGAACAATTAGATTCCATCTCAGACACACCTCAGAGACAAAGGAGAGTTTCAGGGCAGGAGCTTTCAGGAGTCATAGCTCCCTTTCTCAGACACGAGCAGTGTTCCCTCTAAGCTGAGTTAGTGTGAGCCAGATTCACAGTTTTTTAGCCTCCAGCTCACAGATTTTTGTCTTAGCTCAGAAAGGAGGGCTCCAGAGCAAGCTAATTTATGCAGTAGCCAAACTGCTCGCTCACAACTTTAATGACGGTAGCTCGCAAAGTAGAACTTTTGTTCACAAGACTCCACACCTTAGAGGGAACATTGGACATGAGTAGTCTAAAACCAAGTAGCCCCAAGCAGCGAGCATCTCAATAGTCTGGTCTAGGTGTAACTCAGTCATGGATCACTGTGCCTAGATCTGACCGAACTATGAACAGGCACAGATGCCACACTAGCTGAAGCTGAGCAAAAGTGCTCTGAGCCATTTGAACTTTAAGCATCTGGATTCCTAAAAAAAAAAAAAAATCCTGCTAAGTCCCCCTAACCATTGGTGATATCCTACCTTCCCTAACATGAAGTGAGAATGGAGAAGTCAATCTCACAGTGCGGGGGGTGTTATTTATCACTGCTTCATCCCCTCCCTTTTCTCTGTTGCATTCTCTTGTCTCCTTCGCTTGATCCTTAAATAACACTATTAAGTATTGAGACGGCCAGGCAGTTCAATAATGCAACGATCAACGGTTTATTGTGTAAGCACCGGCACTGAAACACACATCTGGAATCAACTCTTAACTGATAGGAACTACCTGAGCACCCCACCTTTCCCGCATGCGGGAGAACTCTCTGCTCTGCCCCTCCCAGGGTCTATGGTGGCTCAAACAGTTTAATACATAACAACAACTTAAAAGTATAAGCCCCCCTCAGGGAGAATATTTGTCTATGAAGGAGGCTGAATGGCTTCTGTGCAATCCTGAACAAATGCTCCCAGGAAAAGATGGGCTCTGAGGGAGGAAAGACATGACCTTGCGTTGATGTTCTGGGAAGGGACTCTAGGCCGGGGGGTGGGCAATGAGAGACTACATGGGTCACCTATTTGTTTTATTTCACAGAATTTATACCACACTTTTCTGCCATCGTAAGGATCACCAAGTTGGCTAACAAATTATGTACAATAACATCACAACGAAAGCCAACCAAAAACTAGTAAAAAGAAAAGACATTGCATTCTCTCTTAGCCTCAGACTTCAGAGAGGGACTATAGAGAGCCAGAGAGATAGACCGGTCGGGAGGACCCTGAGCATCTTTCCTGCCTACTCTTCTGCAGCTGTCCCTTTAATGTGTAGATTGCTACTCTTAGAGAATCTTCCTTCCATCCAGCTGGCTCCTTCCTTCTCTCTCCATCTTGCTACCATGAGAGCATGGCATGGGTTCTCCATCCTCATTGGTTAGACTAAATTAGAATCCTATTGGTGCTCTATCCTGTCTAAAATGGGGTTCCTGACAAGAAATTGCTCATTTCTTTAATCTTTTATTTTCCAATATCAAATTTTATTTGCTCTGGTATAGACCTGTATATTTTTGAACTGCTGTTTCTCTCTTCTCTCTTTGTTTTCTTGTTCCACTTCTGAAGGAGTGAGCAGTGACTCACAAAAGCTCATCCCTCTTAAAGTTATATTATTAGCCAGAAATACTATGGAGTTATGGCTTTGTTATGAAATTATCACACTAAAACAGGATGTTAATAATGTTTTGCTTTGTTTTGTTCTATTTTTCTTACTTATGCTACAGGATCCATGATCTTAACTATACTTGATATGTATTAGATAATAAAAATTGATCATAAAATTATTCAAACTTTCTTTATGTTTAATATGGTTCTGAACCTTTTCAATGCAATGTTTGCTGGTTTATGTTTCATGTTGATTACCTATCTCTTTGAACTAGATCTGTAATAGATGTTATACTTGTTTACTATTATGAAAAATATTTTTGTTTTCTTATTGACTTAGTATTTTTGAATAATTTTTCAATAAAAAGTTTATTAAAATAAACAAAAGCTCATCCCCTGCCACAGATTTTGTTAATCTCCCATATCTCCAAAAGCACATTCAATCCAGTGTAACTATATGTATTTGAATAATAGAATCATTATTATATTCAAATTGATTCACTGAAATTGATTACCTTTATTCAGAATTTCCTTTCTTGTATTGTTTTTTTTTGTTTGACCATGTTCCAGTACAACATAACAGTTTTCAGATTTTAATAAAACCTTCCTGATCAAACTGTTTCCCATCTCACATATGCTACCCTAAATAGTGTAATGTCTCCAAGTACATAATAAACCATACTTTATGTGAACAAATTTCTTGAGTGGGTAATACATCTTGTTTCCAGAGTTCTGTTTCTAATATTGTAGCTGCTGTGAGCAAGTTATTAATGAGATACATATATGTTATCTTCTTTTTTGTAAAACATTCCAGAAGTGAAACCACAGGGTGACATGAAATCTTATCTTTAACAATGTCCTCCATAACTGAACAACCCCACACCCCCCCCAAAAAAACAGACCAAAATATCTTAACTATTGGGCACTGCTACCAGATATGAAGAAATTAGACTAACTGCATCTGGTATCTCCAATGAATTTGTGAATTTGTCAGTGTTATTTTGGCAATTGTCTTTAGAGTATAACACCATCTCTTCATCACTTTCAAGACATGACAATATTTCATGATAATTTAGAAATATTCATTTGTTATCTGCCCCACTGTCATCTGGTATCTCCATTAACAAATTCCATTCCAATGCATTTTATACTATCTACTACATAATATTTTAATACATATTTGACTCCTTTTGCTCATTATTCTGTTACAGATCAACAGTCTGTGGGAGACCGACAATTTATTAGCACATTTAATATTTGCCACACAGTTGGGAAATCACTTGTTCCTTCATGTTAGCTTTCTTCAAATTGACCTCTCATTTCCAAATCTTGGAAATAGATGCCATCATATCTTTCATCTCTGTACTATTCCAAAGCCTTCTTGTTATGTAGATGAAAAAGCTGGTTGAGGACACAGGACCCCCTTTTTCAAAGGCCTCTCCTTCATTAGTTACAGGACAGCAAAGTGAGGGATGCGTCCTCTTCTTTCCAGTACCTTGTTCACAGCTGCTTTGAAGTCTTTGTTTCGGATTGTGAAGATGAAAGGGCTAACAGCAGGCAAAACAACTATTGTCACAAAGAAAACCACTTTGTTGATTTGACTGTCACCTTGGGTCAAAGGTTTCAGATACATGAAGAACATTGCCCCATAGAAGATGCAGACAATGGTGAGATGGGAAGAGCATGTGGAAAATGCCTTGGATCGGCCACTGACAGATGGAATCTGAATTATGGCACTTATGATGCATGCATAAGAAACCACTGTAAAGAGAAATTGTGGGCGAGATTAGCGAATTAGGCACACCTGTCCTAGTCTTCAGCCTATATCCCAGACTCTGTAAATATCTGGATATTGATCAGTAACTCTGATCAATAAGACATAGCTCTAAGTCCGATGACCTCTGACCATCCATAGTGCCTGTGGAGCTAGCTTGTTAATCATTATACCAATGCAAGCACCTTTAAGACAAATCCCCCGAAAGTTATTGTTCTCCTCTGGTTTTCTGAATGTGAACTCTGAACCCCAGCTATGTGAACTCTCAACCCCAGCACACGGATGGAGGGGAGGGGGGAAGCAGAATGGGCATAAAATAAACTGCTGCTGCCTTGAGAGGCAGACTGATTTCTCTACCCTCGAGAGAGTTGTCTCGCGTGATTCTTCAAGAAATGAACCCCACATAAGTATAATACCATAAATGAGAAAGATAAGTTCCATCACTGTTGTATCAGCACAAGCTAGTTTCAAAACAGGCCCAAGATCGCATAAGAAGTGGTTGATGACATTGTGTCCACAGAATGGGAACGCCCATACAACTACAGATTGACAAAGGACAACCATAAATCCACCAATCCAAGCAAATAACGAAAGACAGAAGCAGAGCCCATTGGTCATCTTGGCATTATACAGGAAAGGTTTGCAAATGGCCACATAACGATCAAAGGACATTACGGTGAGGTGGATGAATTGTGTGCTTCCCACAAAGAAGATAAAGAAAGTTTGCACCATGCAACATGTGAAACAAATCATGTTTTGGTCCAAGATCATGTTAGTCAGCATCTTTGGTACCACCACTGTGGTGCTACAGAGCTCACCCAGGGAAAAACTGCTAAGAAAGAAATACATGGGCATGTGCAGTTTGGGCTCCATAAAGATAATGGTGATGATTAAAGAGTTGCCAGAGACTGAAATGAGGTACATCAGAAGAACAAGAGCAAAAAACACCATCCGTATTCCATGAAGTTCAGGAAATCCCAGAAGAACAAACTCGGTGATTATGGTAAGATTGTTGTGCTTCATTTCCTTCTGTCCTTCCTAGATACCTCTTTTAAAAGGTAGAAGACAAAATCGTTTCATTCAAAGTAAGACAAAGATTGTGTATTTAAATTTTTATATTGCAAAGAGAAATAGCAATTTTCCTTTATGAATGAATTAATAAATGCCAGGTGACATCAACAATTGTACCCTTATACTGATCTGCCATAACTTGAACTCTATCTACGATGAAGAAGGGTTATATGAGACCAAGTCCTGACAACATGTATATTGAAAATGCCAATTAGAGCACCCTGTTCTGTTTTACATTGCAACACACATTACAGTCAAGAGCTCAAATTAGATAAAAAAGAATCACAAACCAATACCGATGACATACCTAATAAAATTGGGAACACACACAAAACCTTTATATTCCAAATATTATTTTCTTCAGCGAACATTTGACCAAAGGTGAAAGAGGGGAAAGAAAAAAGGAAAGAAAGAAAGAAACAGGAAGAATGTTGAAAAAAAATTTCCCGCACCTAAAAATTCTTTTTAAAACTCTTAAAAGTAAAGTCTATTATTTTATGCATTTTACTTAAAAGTAAAGTCTATTATTTTATGCATTTTATTTAATCTGTCATTGATGGTAACATTAGAGATCATTGTTGTTAAAGGGAAGTCATTCTTTTGTGACTTGTTCTTTTAATACTCCAAGGATTTCCCAGGGGGGCCCTTCCAAGAGGTCCCTAGCCTCCTCCATGCCAAATTTTAAAAAATCACAATATAAGGATACAGAAAGTTTTTAAAGAACTTTCAAGTCTCTCTACTGATCTCTCTCATGACAATTAAGGAAACTAATTGAGGTTGCCACAGTGTCAACAGGTGTTAATTATGCTTCTTTCTTCTAACACCGAATGTATTCACTCTTTGTATAATAAAATTGGGTTTTTTTCATTTTTTTCAGATATAAAAGTCATTTCAAAGCTCTGACTGATTCTGACATGCCATCGAGAACCTCTGTCATTGCAAATGAGGCACAAGATGCTACTGGCTGGCTGGGCACAAGCCTTAGCCCATGGGCCAACTAAAAAGTCCTTCTTATAAGCTGGCGGTCCATTCTCATCACAGGCATTTAGAATGTGCTTGTGTGACACAGAGTGTTGGACTGGATGGGCCTTTGGCCTGATCCAACATTGGCGTCTCTTATGTTCTTATGTTCTTATGTTCTTATGGTCAGAATCACGTGTGTCATGATGTCACTTTTGGCGAAAGCCACCATGTGATGCTCTATGTTTTTTACCATAGAGATTTAGGGTAGAGTGTCATAGGTGGCTGGACATCACTTCTGGGTTTTCAGCAGAAGTGACATGGTGACCCATGCCTCACCAGTTTTTCAAGAGTTCCACCGCCAGAAATCCCCCACTATCTGCATGGGACCAGCTGAAACCCTGCCACCTACCCTTTAGGATCAGTATGGGATTAGCTCGCCACTTTGGGTGGGGAAAACCTGGGATCTCCACAAATTTGTGGGCTATCATTTATTCTCCTGTTCTGTGCTAATTTCTGGGATTTGGTGCTAGAATGAGCAGAGGTCATTTCGGGGGGGATCGCCGGGGAACACAGTTCCCCCAGGTGAAGTGCGGGGGGCGGGGCACATGATGAAGCCCCGCCCCCTGCTTCCAGCCGCCCCGCTTCCAGCCCTCATTCAGCCAGGAGGAGGCAGGAGAAGAGGGAGGGTAAGTTGCTTCCTCCCTGCCTCTCCCCACCTCTGCCTGCCTGGGGCCAGGGAGGGCCTTGGCGGGGCTTCCTTGCACTCCCGCTGGCCTTGCAGGTCCACCGCCGGGCCCCTGATGTCAGGGGGTGTGGCATATGCTAATGAGTTCCCCTAGCTCTTTATCTACGAAACGACCCCTGAGAATGAGGCCTTGTCTTTTGACTAGTTAGGCTATTACTAGGGTATCGCAAGAACTGGGCAAGTTGTGTTAGAACACAGGGATAATAGGTGAGCTCCCAGAGGCATCCAAGGATGAAGCGCCATTCCAGAGACAGCACATCATTAACTGTGTTGCCAACTGCCAGGTGCAGCCTGGAACGCAGCAGCTATTCAGACAACAGAGATCAGTTCCCCTGGAGAACATGACTGCTCTAGAAGGCAGACTGGACAGCAATGAACCCTGCTTTGGTCTCTCCTCTCCCTAAACCCCACCCTCCACATGCTCTACCCTTGGAGCTGAGTAGCGTTAACCAACCAAATCCTCAGTTGCATCTGTGGAACATTAGGTGGGAAGGATTAGCCCCTGTCAGCATACTTGGCATGCAGATGAGGGCAGAGATCAATCACTTCATTAAATTTAACCCACTGATATTGTGTCCAGTCTATTCATTGGCGGGGCGAGGGGAAGTTGAAACAAAAGACCAAAGTCTAAGAGGAATCATTAAACCTTATGGCCTTATAAGTCATACATACAGGGGTCATTTCGTAGAAAAAGAGGTGCAGGAGCTCATTAGCATAACTCATTAGCATAACTTATTTGCATATGCCACACACCCCTGACATCACCGGAAGTGTGTCAGAAGGCAACACCCACCGCTCAGGCTCCACTGGACTGTTTTGGATTGCTAGCTATTGGGGGGGGGACACGCAGATCTGTCCTCACAGAGGAGGGAGAGCTTGTACCTGAATAAAACTTGGTCTTAGAGGTGCCACTGGACTGTTTTGGCCAGGGGGGGCGGGGGGCTCTGCAACTTACCTGGCTGCTTCTTGCTCTGACTGAGGACTGCTGGGAGCAGGGGGCGGGGCTTGTTGCATTACCCCGCCCCCTGGGTTCTTTACTGCCGGAGCTCCGCTCCTGTGCGCTCCTGCAGGAAATGACCCCTGCATACATATATTATATTTAAGTGGGGAACTTATTTTCCCCTCCCCAACTATTCCACCCCTTTCCCCTTTCCTGAAAACCTTCATAGCCTTTCCCCCTTTATCCTGTGAGATGGGATAGGCAAGTGTGGGGATTTGAACCTGGGCCTCCAAGATCCTAGTCCAAAACTCTAACCAGTGCACTGCATTGGCTTTCATGTGGTGGCAAAAAGCTGGGCCTGGATGAGTCATGCAAGTCACAGGCTGTGATCACACACACTGAATCATCGACTTTCAATCCACCTTCAATGCACTTTTGAATTGGATTTTGTCAGTTCACACAGTAAAATCCAGTTGGAAAGTGCATTGGAAGTGGATTAAAAGTCGATTTTTTAGCGTTTTTGATCGCAGCCACATTGTAGCAAGTCAACCAATGGTGGCTGTAGGGTCTTACCACAATGAATCATCCCTCAAAGGTAAAAATGGCCCTAGAAAAGGCTCTGACTTTCTCCCTGCCTTTTATTGAGAGTAATGAAGGCTAGAAGGCTGGTAATACTGTGTGGTTGCTTAGCAACCACACTTCTTAAAACTACACTTCACTTCTATAAACTACAGGTGCTGCTTCTATTATTTCGGGTGGTTTTAACCCCCAATGTGTGTTTGTTTGCTTTTAGATTTCAGATTTTTTTTCTGCAAACGAGGAGTTTCCCTCAGATTTCTAACAGATCTGTCTTGTATGTTTGTGGCGCCCATCTCCAAATATCCACAGATTTTGCCATGCTGAGAATTAGATATACTGCTGCAAACAAAATGACCTATCTATGGCATGGCATACAATATTGCAAAAAAAGAAGTGATTTATGAAGGTCAAAGACAAATCAGTGACAGCAAGGGGATGTATACAGTAAAAATTGAGGAGCTGCGGTGGCTCAAGTGGTTAAGACGCTGAACTGCAGGCTGTGGAAGGTCAGTAGTTCAGCAGTTCGAGACCCGAGTGTGCCGCATGACAGAGTGAGCTCCCGTCTCTGGTCCCAGCTCCTGCCAACCTAGCATGATTTTGGTTCTGACATGGGGATGTCTTTATGAAGTGATTAGAACTGTAGTAGAATGGAACAGCTGAGGAAGGAACTTTTATAAGGAAATAGGATAGTAAAAGGTAAAGGTTCCCTTGCTCGAAAGCCAGTCGAATCCGACACTAGGGTTGCGGTGCTCATCTCCGTTTCAAAGCCGAAGAGCCAGCGCTGTCCGAAGACGTTTCCGTGGTCATGTGGCCGGCATGACTAAACACCAAGGTGCACAGAACGCTGTTACCTTCCCACCGAAGTGGTCCCTATTTATCTACTTGCAATTTCTTGCTTTCGAAGTGCTAGGTTGGCAGGAGCTGGAACTGGAGACAGGAGCTCACCCTGTCTTGCGGCACCCGGGTCTTGAACCGCTGAACTACTGACCTTCCACAGCCTGTAGTTCAGCGTCTTAACCACTTGAGCCACCGCAGCAGGTAGGTAGCTAGAGGTTTATTGTATAAAGGCATTGGCCTTTACAAAATACAGAATACAGCGAGACACTGATAAAAAGTTAAAAACCACTATTTTGGGTTAAAATTGTCTACCAATCAATAATAAAAAAACACAGATTTGGACACCTTCAAGTAACCTGCCTTTTAGATCTAATCTTAGGTGCTGCTAAAGCAAACAAGGAGACTCTGTGAGTAGGGTTGCCAAGTGTATTTTTGAGCCCGGCGGGGCAGACTTGCCGGACTCCGGGAGGCGTCCGTGGATGTGTGTGCGCATGCGCCGCCAGCACATCACCAGAAGAGACACGCAACGTCAATCACATTGGGGGTGTGGCCCCGATCGTCGGAGGGAAAACCGCTGCGCTTCGGGGAGCGGAGTTCCCCCCGGGGCCTGATTCCGTGGTGGCGGAAATCAGGCCTCCAAAGCGGGGGTTTACCCGCCCCCCTCCACCACTTGGCAGCCCTATCTGTGCGATAGATAAGAATCATTACCTGAAAGCAAGAACACAATCTTTTCAGCTTCTGAGTATACTTGCATGACAGGAAGAAATCCTGCTTAAAAAATTCTCTCTAGAAGTGCTATATAATTCACTGCCACAGGAAGTGGTGGCGGCTACAAGCATGGACGGCTTCAAAAGGCAATTAGATAAACATATGGAGCAGAGGTCCATC